AAAGACAATACTTATAAAATATATAATAATATAATATAATAATATAAATTAATTTTCTTAAATTAATTATAGTAATTAATTATAATAATTAACGTTAACTCTTTAATATTTAATTATATTTATAATAAGTTTTAAGTTTAAAGTATAAAGTAAGTTATATAAGTCTTATTTAAGTATTTAAAAACACTTAATATTCCTAATAAATAATTATAAGTACCTTATTTTCCCCTATAAATCCATTTAAGTCTTTTTTTCCTACCTATTACCTACCTAAAGCCCACGAGTAAGCAACTCACACGGGTACCCGTAGACCTTTTACACCCTACTCAAGAAGGATAGCATGGCTTCTTGATTAGCAGCCATTTGGGGCCCACCAGATATCACTTGGCTTCCTGCACAGACTTCCTAATTCCAACATCATCCCATGTCTTCTTCGCATCGCAAGGCTAGGTAGGACAGCAGTCGTCAGCGGTATGGCTACTCCCCATCATCGTCATCAGGACTCTATCCCGGGGCTCGTGAACCTGTCGTCGGCCCCCCCCCTCCCCAACAACAGACAATGTCCGCAACCAAGCCGACGCGCGTTTTCATCATATCGTTGACTACTTTCACAACAGAGATCGACTCTAACGGCAAATATAATCGACCGAAACTAGTTGGTCTAGTCTATTAGTATGCCATCAATGATATCACTAAAGTCCAAAGATAACGTCTTGCGGGCATTCTTTCGCGCGATGGGCCTGCAGATGGAGGGCAGCGCTATTAACTTCTCCGATGAGGAGGCTTTGCTCTCACGTCTGATTGGATTTGCCGACCACTTGGTTGATAACTTCTTCATGCCGTGTACATCTAAGATAAATCTTGCCAGGTAACTATCTCACTCTATATAGTGCGAGCGGCAACTGGAAAAACGCCCCATCTCACACCTCATTACCGCTCAGCGACTCTGCGATCGAGTAGTCAAGACTTTTTCGGAACGCCAGAACGGCTCTCAACCCTCCGCGGTAACTGTTTAATACGACATAGGCACCGTTATGTTAATTCGCGAGCTTTTCATATAACCAAGATAAGAGAACGAGAAACACTAAAGGGATGAATACTAGACGATAACGGTTAAACAATTAAAGACGATGACGTTAACTATTTAGAAGTCGCGCATATTTTACCACATTCATTGGTCTATATCAGATCAGAATCCGAGGAGCTGGTATAGTATTTTCCTTGTTCTCATATTTTCGTACTTCTTCTCTGAACTTTTTTTCTTTTACCTTATTTCTGTTTTTTTTTGTTCTATTCTTCCACTACTGTCTTTACGGAAATACTGCCCGTCGCCACGCCTCCTTGCTGTTCACCGCGCCATTGCACACATCTTGCATCTCACGGGGGCGGGATGCTATATTGACAGCGTTATTCGTAGCATGGGTGAACAGATGGCGAGATCTGATGGATCAACAGAATTAGGACGACTTGCGCAATTGCGAATAAATGGATGGCTCGCCGGCGGCGTTCATACGTAGGGTGGTGTCACACGGTCACACGAGGGCTACGATCACGAGACGTAGGGCAAAGGCTCTCATCGACTTGTTATATAAACAAAGCTGATCTAGGCCTTGAAGAGAACCAAGGGCCTTTAATACCTCCAACTAAGCCAGGGGGTCAAAACTTGTAGAAGCCCGCGAGTTACTACCGTAGCTGCTAAAATATTGCATACTTCTCTCAACAATTATCAATGAATCGAGCCATTACCCTGCGGCTTTGATACATGTAAAGTCTCTGGATGCCCTGTGCTAGGATACGGAATGTGAAATACTATTTTAGTCCAATAGAATATAATATCTAAGTCTATTAGTATACAGTCTGTGGCAGAACGTATTTACAAATGAGTAAGTATACACTAATCTACTATCGTATATTAGAGTACAGAGCGCGATGACATACAAAACGTGCTTAGTTGTCTTCCTGTAAAGATTTCTAGGCTTTTCAAGATGCTCGTAACCTGCTTCTGGGGCCTCCCATTTAAAAGCTGTTTGGTAGGCTAGAGCAATGAGCTGCCTCATCCCTTTTTTGTTTTAGGCTTATTCAACTTATGAAAGTCATACTCGACAAGATTGATGGTGGACATGTTGCTTTAGCGTGCCACGATTTTGGATTCTGAGCATGTAAAGAGATTATGGGGCCAAGATACTTGGGATTTATCTGCAAAGGCACTTGACATATTGTACAAATCTCCTCAAGGCGGCCAAGGCTCCAACGACGTCTGGAGGCATTCTCTCTCCATCCGGCCTTGGGAGCGGCCCAGCACAGGCTTGTGCTTGGAATTGAGGCTGGTGTTGGGCTGTAAAAACAATGCCTATTGGTCTCAATCCTTGGAAAATGCATCGTTCACTGCTTCAAAGAGACATGCGTGTTGGTGCCAACGGTCACGCCAAGTCACAAGTTGACCAGCATGTCTGGTGACGTCAACGTACCCGCATATGCTTACGGTGGCACATTAGCTAAGGTCTACAGTTACTGCTATAACCCCACATCTAGTATTTT